CAGGGCACTGGGCTATTTTTCTTTTTTAAATGAAATTTTGGTAAAACCAATTACTGTGCCCCTAATGTTGCATTACTGTTTGGGTACCTTATAGGAATTTGGAAAAACAAAATAGTAGGAAGAATAATCCTCTTATCTTCTCATTTTTCTATTAAAATGTAAATATATTTTTCTTATTATATAAGTAATTCAGGTCTATTAATTGTTCAGAAAACTCAAACATATAGAAAAGTAAGAATTGAGAAGTAAATCCCCTGCTATCCTGTTCAACCAGAAATATCCTGTTCAACCAGAACTATTATTATTTATAGTATATACTTTCTAGACATCTTTATATAAATATGCAAATATACATGCACACATATATATTTATTAATAGAATGATGATACTGTATATCCTGTTTTGTAATCTTTTGGTTTTTTTGAGACAGAGTCTCACTCTATTACCCAGGCTAGAGTGCCATAGCATCAGCCTAGCTCACAACAACCTCAAACTCCTGGGCTCAAGCGATCCTTCTGCCTCAGCTTCCCGAGTAGCTGGGACTACAGGCATGTGCCACCATGCCTGGCTAATTTTGTATAAATATATTTTTAGTTAGCCAATTAATTTATTTCTATTTATAGTAGAGATGGGGTCTCGCTCTTGCTCAGGCTGGTTTCGAACTCCTGACCTCGAGCAATCCGCCCGCCTCGGCCTCCCAGAGTGCTAGGATTACAGGCGTGAGCTACCGCGCCTGGCCCGTAATCTTCTTTTTATTCTTAGAGGTATATGTTAACATTTTCCATATATCTATCTCATTAAGTGGCATCACAGAACACGCCATCATTAATAATCTACCTACTACTGATGAACATTTTGTTCATTTTCAGTATTTTGCTGTTATATATATGCTGTAAAGAGCACTGTTGAACACAAGTGTCTTAATATATACTTCTATACGTATACATGAATAGGTAAATTCTAAGCACTTGTTCCTAATATACACTGCAAAAATTATTTTCTCCAATTTGATGTTTGTGTTTCACTTTTGTCTTTTAGTGTTTTAATGTTTTAGGTAGTCACATTTGTTTCTTTGCCTTTATAAGTCTTAGCCTTGGTGTTATTGTAAGCAGGTCCTACCTCAATCAAGTTTATAAAAATACTTTTCACTGTTTTCTACCAATATTTTCTTTTACATTATTAAGGCCATCCATCAGTTACTTCTTTCTTTTTCTTCCCAGAGGAAAACAATTTTGGAACAAACCGCCCTTCAGAAAGGTTGTACACCCCTTTTCATGCCACCAGCAGTGAATGAAAATGTTTCTCACAGTCCTCAACCACACTACATATTGCCTTGCTTTTTAATATTTGCCAATTTGAAAAGCAAAAAAGTATTTTCCCCTTAGTACATTTCATAGTGTCTTTATTTTTCGTGAAACTGATCCTTTAAGAGATATTTATTTACAATCTTTTAATTTATTCTCTTGAAAACTGTTTAGTTATGTGCTTGGTTTGTTTTTCTAGTGGACTTCTTTAAAAAATTAATTTGTAAGAGCTCTTTATATTTTCATATATATTTACAAGATCCAGAAGAAGAATGTAAGGATTTGGGCCAGGTTCAGTGGCTCATGCTGTAATCCTAGCACTCTGGAGGCTGAAACAGAGGATTGCTTGAGGTCAGGAGTTCAAGACCAGCCTAAGCAAGAGTGAGACCCCCAACATTATAGAAAATAGAAAAATCAGCTGGCTGTTGTGGTGCACACCTGTGGTCCCAGTTACTCAGGAGGCTGAGGCAGGAGGATCACTTGAGCCTGGGAGTTTGAGGTTGCTGTGAGCTATGATGGCACCACTGCACGCTAGCTGGGGGTGACAGAGTGAGACCCTGCATAAAAAAAAAAAAGATGTATGTTACAGATATTTTGAATTATATTTTAAACTGTATGTGAGTCTGGTAATGATGCCTCAGATTGTGCAATCTTAGTTTTGACCAGTGGTGAACACCAAAATGGGTGTGAGTGATGCTAGGCAGAAAAAACTTTCTGAACAGTTGATGGTAGTTTTCAAGACAAACCCACCTCACGCTAATAGCCATTTATCAATGGTGTCTTCAGGCGTAGGAATCCACTGGGCTTTAGCCACAAACGGCATTAAGGCAAACTGATAGAAGAGAAGGTGTGAGAAGGGAGGTGTGAGAATTCAGAGGTCTTGGGGACTCCAAGCCCATGATACTTCATATTTTCAGTATTTTGTTCCCTGGGGGAACACCTGGAGATTGCCATAGATGGAGGGAGTGCATTTGTTTCTGCTCTGATTTACCCATGTGCTGCATGGATGAGCACAGAGAATTAAATACATCAAATAAGGTGCAATAAAATTGAAATATGCTTTTTCCCCAAGTCAGAGCTCTAGAGTCATGAAGATGTTTTGGCTCCACATTACACTCTCCCCCCTCACTCCCACCAGCAGCAAACAGAGAGCAGTGCATTCTACTGCCCATGCAATCCAACAGGGAAAATAAGCCTTCCCTACAATGCTCCATGGGTCAAAACTTGTGATTTTGCATCTTGCTGTTTACAAGCTCTGGGTCTGGAAACAGGTACACTTAGTTCATGTGACATCATTATGTGTACTATTAGGTTTCATTAAATGTAGGCAAAATAAGAATAATAGGAACATGATGTTTCCCATCCCACTGTACATATTTCCATAGATATCCGCAGGTTACCTCAATGTTAGGCCATAGTACCAGGAAATAGCCCTTTTCACACTCAACCGCAAGTACGTAGCCTCAACCCGGTGCCAGATAAAGTCTCCCTGGTTGACCTTTGTCATTATGTGCTGCACTTTTGTTTGCCATGAACCTACTAATAACACTTTTATGTAACGTTTTCTGATTATTATAGTAGAATAGTTGTTAAACTTTCTGCATGGCAATCAATGCGTACCCATTCACCTATATGGTTATTGAGTCTCAGTGCATCCCTGCTGTCGATCCAAGCCCCACTACCACCCACTGCAAACCCCACAACTGTCACCAGTGACAGCAAATCCACCGGCGTGCAATGGTCATGGCTGATGTTTCTTTCCTCATTCCTGAACCTCGGGAATTACTAGCAATTGTCTGCGTAATACATGCTAAACGGAATTAGCAAACAAAACACTGTGCCGGTTGGAACCTTCCTGAGAAGACTCGTGATCCGTGATCCGTCACTACCTTGGAAGGAAAGGGTGACGTCATCCCATCAAGTGCTCCTTAGAAAAGTGTGGTCCAATCGCTGTGAGGTTACAGGTGAGTGCATACACACCTTCCCTTCACTGTCCCCGTTTCACCTGCCATTTTCTCTGTGATGCTGGACTGTGCTCAGCAGTATCTAATGTTGAGGGTAAGTCAAGAGGAAGAAAGTTAATGCAGCAGTGGGAGAGAAAAGCAGAGGCACAAAGGGCTGTGTAGCAGGAAAGCAGGCAGGCCTGGCAAACGATGTCACAATGGTATGACTAGAAACACTTCAAAAGTCTCTAATTCTACCTAAAGCGACATAGGTACCTTGATTCCTTTATGTCATGGTTGTGACAGAAAAGCTTCATCACAGTGCGAGTGCCAAGCCACTCTGAGGATAGGGTCTTGAACTCGGGGAGACAAAAATCTGTGCATGTGGGGAAAACCCTGGCCACACTTGATTACACTTGCCTGCCCCTGCACTGCTCACTGGCTGGCATGACAAGGTAGGGGGGCTGCTGGGATGCAAACCTGGACACTCCAAGACAGGTAGGGGAGGAGGTGATTATTGCTGACAATAAAGCCTCTTTTTTTTGGACTGGCAGTGTAAAATCAAGAGAGTTAATGCATGTTTAACTTGGACTATCCCCCGGTATAAGCTTGTCTTACACAAAAACAGCAACACACTATCCCATCCCTTGTGACTTTCAGTCTATGAAATTTTGTGTAATATTTTAGCCTGAATACCGACTCTAAATTTCCATTTCCAACAACAATATTAGTTCATAATAACTATGCTTACTTAATAGCTTCTCAAGTGCCTCTTATTCATAGAGGCAACTATGTAGCCACATAATCACTTTATAAATAACACATGATTAGCCTTCTTATCTGCCTTATCTTACTTGCTCTGTTTTAAAATTGAGTGTTTTCCCAATGCCTTCTTAGAAATCAAGACTTTAGTTTGGAATTTTTTTTTTTTTTACCTACTGACATACTTATTTTTAACTCTTGCCTTGGCCTTTGTTCAGATTTGTGTGATAAAGCCAATTGAGTCATTGCTAGATAAAGTACACTTTTTCTGAGCTGCTTTGGAAAAGCTGGGAGTAAGAGAATAATCCAATCTGTGCTGCAAACTTTGTTTACCAGAGGATTTGTTAACCAGCAGGTAAACAAAGTGTTTACCCTTATGGAGAAACTCTTCCCAAACAACCCAAGGTGAATACACAACAAAACAACAACAATCCCAGGGCCTTGGCTCATTGTTATGGAAATGGCTTGTGCTAAGGATGTCTGCAGGTGCAGCAGGGAGTCTCTGGAATATGCAGAAAGACTCAGGCTTTGTGTAAATCCGCTTCCAGCCGGTTTGGACTTTGCTCAGTGGGCAGATATTCAGCGATTGTGGATGTTTTCGCCTCGAGGAGGTCTAAAACTTTTAAAAGTATTTTTTAGAACAGTTTTAGGTGCACAGCAGAATTGAGAGGAATGTACAGAGATTTCCCACATACTCTCTACCCATACACATGCACACCCTCCCCCGTAGGCACCAGAGTGACATATTTGTTATGATTGCTAAACCTGCATTGACACAACAGTGTCACCCAGAGTCCATAGTCTGCACTAGGGTTCATTCTTCGTGTTGCATATTCTATAGGTTTGGACAAATGTACCATGGCATGCACCCACCATCATGGCATACACAGTGTGTTCACTGCCCTAAAAATCCTCATGAGTCTGAAACTTTTTAGAGAGGAATGCCAAGTTTCCACACTTTTCTTTTGGTACTAGAAAAGGGCTGCTTACCTGGGTGGTGCTTCCTTTCTCCGTGAGAGGATGGGGCTCTCACTGATATATTTGGGAATGATGGTCGCTTTTGGCCAAATGCAAGTCTGTGTCCACCAGCTGCGGAGACAGAAACAGAACCTCAAATAACTACTGGGGTTATAGACAGAGAGGCCTGGTCCTCAGGCTAATTACAGAGGGGGCAGCTGAGGCCGAATGTGCCCCTAGGGACCACAGAACTCACAGTTTCTTCTTTACTACTTATCCCAGATGTCTGTGGTCACTTCGGAGATAACCAGGACCAGGTCTCTTGTCTGTTTCACTAATTGCGGGCTCTTTGAGACCTTGGCTCTGTGTGAGTCAGACCTAGAAACCTGTTTACCAACCAGCGTTATCTTTCAAAAACAGAGACTCATTTCTTTCTGCCTTGATTTATAGCCCTGTGGTACAAGCCTTATCTCCTCTGCTAGAGACTTCAATTCCCTGCAAGAGGGATCCATGCCCAAGTCCTTAGAGCCCCAGTGCCCAGGGCTGTGCCTGGGACAGAGAAGGTATTCAGACTTTATTGGATGGACAGATGAAATGTGAGTGCAGTGGAAAAACTCTGAGGTGTTGGAGAGAATGGTGAAACAGAGCTGACCCAGTCTCTCCAAGCATTGGGTAATAATTGTTACTCCAGCAACGTGTGGTAATAATGCGTAGTATCTCTAGTCAAAGCAACTGCCTTCCAAGATAGATACAAAATCCTCTTTTTACACAGGAAAAGTCAGATACTCAGAGAAATTAGGCAATTTGCCTAAAATCACAAAGCTGTGAGTGGCAGAACCAGGGGGTTCCTTTGTGCCCTGCACCCCAACCCCCGCCGCGCTCTTGGGGCTTCCCCTACATTAAGCCACCTCTCCCTGAGTTGCTACACATGCCCAAAGTGAGGTTGCGGTTAGGACTACTCAGTCCCATGCCTGGCCAGGTAAAACAGGCAGTGCTGGAAAGTGCCAGAGAGTTGGGGGTGGGAGGTCCTTGTCCGTAAAGCCCCTGCACAGCCCTACGGGTGAGGGCAAAGGCCTTGCCTGACCGTCTTCTCTTAGCTTGGACATTGTTCCCTTGGCACCACGTTAAGGCCAGTGACCAGCAAGGCTGTGAGCCGCCTGCCCTGCCTGCCTCCTGCCTGGGCACTCTAAAAAGCAGGACAATCATCAGCGGGGCACGGTGGCTCACGCCTGTAATTCTGGCACTCTGAGAGTCTGAGGCGGGAGGATCGCTCAAGGTCAGGGGTTCAAAACCACTGGAGCAAGAGCGAGACTCCATCTCTACTAAAAATAGAAACAGATTAATTGGCCAATTAAAAATATATAGAAAAAAATTAGCCAGGCATGGTGGCGCATGCCTGTAGTCCCAGCTACTCAGGAGGCTGAGGCAGGAGGATTGCTTGAGTCCAGGAGTTTGAGGTTGCTGTGAGTTAGGCTGTTGCCACGGCACTCTAGCCAGGGCAACAGAATGAGACTCTGTCTCAAAATAAAAAGGAACAATCAAGTATTGATGTTAAATGGGGGGGGGGAATCATACATTTCCTCATAGAAACTCAAAGTCAGTCCTTCTGAGACAAAAAAAAAAAAAAACGTATATGGAAATTGCTTGAGACAGCCCTTATCCTCTCTCCTACCTCTGCCTTAGTCCCAGCTGTCCCCTGAAGCCTGCGGAACTCCCAGGAGCTTTTGATCAGACCCCAAGGCGGGCCTTGGTCTTCCCTCAGTGAGGCACTGAGACTGGTGGCCTTTCTGCTCTGCCTTCAGAATTGAGCTAGAATGACCTGAAATCTAGAATGACCTCGTAACTGCCCATCTCCGCCAGAGTCCAGAAGTGCTCCAGTGCTCTCTACCCTGCAGCCTCAAATCCATAACCGCCGTGTGAATCACTCTCCCGGCACCAGGCACCAGACTACATACTTGAGGGCACTTGGTTAGGAAACGGCCTCTCTTTCTAGGAAGCAGGGTTTGCTCATCCCCGTCTGTGCAGTCACAGGGACCTGATGAGTTACGGGAACTGATAACAATGTGTACAGATTATTTTTAAAATTCTATTTTTAGTCCATTAGCTACTGTTGCGCGTTTCTTCTAATCTATAACCGTTTAGCTGCTGGGGAAGCAAGACTGTTGGACATGCAGCAGGCGGGGAAGGAGGGCGTGGCTTCAATGCTCTGACAGTCAAGTGCTGTGCTGGCCGCAGGGGTTGTAGGGTGGCCTCAGGGGCAAGGGTTCAAATCATGCCTCAACCATTAAGTAACCGTGGATGGGCTACTTAATCCTAATTTCCTTTGTCTGTAAAGAAGGAATAATAGCAGTACCTACCTCAGTGGGTAGCTGTCTGTAGCATTAAGTAAATGAGATCGTGCATATAGTGAACATCAAGCATTTAGCACCGAATAGCTCCTGGGTGTTATTACTGTTACAGGGAGTACTGTGAAAATTCTTGTCCTATAAAGAATATTGAGGTCAGATGCAGTGGCTCACACCTATCATCCTAGCAGTTTGGCAGGCTAAAGCAGGAGGGTAGCTTGAGGCCAGGAGTTTGAGACCAGCCTGAACAACATAGCAAGCCCCTTTCTCTACAAAAAATTTTAAAAATTAGCCAGCTGCGGTGGTGCACATTGTAATCTAACCTACTTGAAAGGCTGAGGCAGGAAGATCACTGAAGCCCAGGAGTTCAAGGTTGCAGAGAGCTGTGATGGTGCCACTGCACTCCAGCCTGGGAGACAAAAAGAATGTTTGCTAGAACTTGCTCTTAACTCTTTTTTCTTGAGACAAAGTCTCACTCTGTTGCCTGGGCTAGAGTGGGTGGCGTCAGCCTAGCTCACAGCAACCTCAAACTCCTGGGTTCAAGCAATCCTTCTGCCTTAGCCTCCTGAGTAGCTGGGACTATAGGTACGTGCCACCATGCCTGGCTAATTTTTTTCTATATATTTTTAATTGGCCAATAATTTCTTTCTATTTTTTTTAGTAGAGATGGGGGTCTTGCTCTTGCTCAGGATGAACTCCTGATCTTGAGCAATCCACCTGCCTCGGCCTCCCAGAGTGCTAGGATTTCAGGCATGAGCTACCATGTCCAGCTACTCTTAACTCTTAATCTGTCTATATCCTCCATCAATTTCTCTATTCTGAGCTATGGCTCAGTTGAGGCAAAAGAAAATTATAATATCTTATGCTCTGCAATTTTGCAGTTATTACTTTCATATTCATTATCCCAGTGCCTCCAATGATAGATGCTTAATAAGTATGTTTATTTTTCACAGCTATCTCGGGAGACAGGTGGGATAGATAATGACGGTGCCATCTTATAAAGGAAGGGAATCTGCTAAGGATTCCCAGTCTGGGTCAGGCTTTGTTTGCTAGTGCAGCTATAACAAAGTGCCACAATTGAGTGGCTTAATATACTATTCGTAGAAATGTATTGTTTCACAGTTCTGGAGGCCAAAGGTCCAAAATCAAAGCTAAGCTGGGTTGGGTCCTTCTGAGGCTTGTGAGGGAGAACCGGTTCCACGCCTCTCCGCTAGCTTCAGGTGTTTTGCTGGCAACCTTGGGTGTTCAGGATAAGCAAGTGTGTCGCCCAGCGACACATTAGGCTGGAGCAGGGAAAGGAGGTGGAAGAGGAAAGCAGGACCCAGACCTTGAAGGGGCTTGACTGTATCCTGGGGAGCAGGAAAGATTCTGTCTTTCCATCTGGGAGGACCTAGCACATCGAGGGACAGGAGCATGGAGATGGAAAGCGTCCAGAGCGGGGCAGGCCAGTGAGGGGGCGAGGTTCAGATGAGAGACAGTGCTCCGGTGTGTGGAAGCAGTCACCCTCTCTCCACCTGCACCAGGTTAGGTGTGCTCGGTGCCCTCAGTCACGGCACACAAACCACAGCCAGCTGCCGCCCACCACACTGCTGCCAGCCCGCCCCACCGTTCCTTCCACCCCTTCCCTTTCCGGCTCTGGCCCCATGGCCCCCAGCTGCCCCCTCCTCTGTGCATCTGCACAGCCCTCTGACATAATGCCTTGTCCCTATTTGTACACGGGGGGCAAACTGTTTGGCTAAATTCAAGGTAGCTCACATGTGCCCCCTCCTCAGAGCGCGCCCCCCCCACTCCTGAGACAGACCAACTCCTGAGACAGACCGTCCACAGGTGGCAATTGCAGCTCCGGACACTGGATTGTCTGCTGATGGGACAATGAATGGCTTTCCGCCTAGCTGTTCTTTACTATCACCTGGGGACTTTTAAAAAAGAAATCCTGATGCCAGATCCCGCCTACAGAGATTTGATTCCGTTTGTCTGGGTTGGAACCCTGCATTGTTTAAAAAGCTATCCACATGTTCTGGTTAACAAAAAAAAAAAAAAAAAAAGAAAAAAAGAGAAAAAGCTCCCCATGCGATGCTAATGTGCAGTCCGGAATTGAGGAGCCCAGCTCCAGACCAGGGGGCCAGCCCTTGAGCGAGCATCAGGATCACCGGATGGCTTTCTTGCTGGGCTGCGCAGCCAGGACTTCTGGTTCAGTTGTTCTGGGAAGGGACCCAAGAATTTGCATTTCTAACACATTTCCTGGTGGTCCAGGGAGCTACTGGTCTCAGGGTCACACTTTGAGGACCACCCTTGACTCCTGTAGCTACTGCTAGTTAGCTTCAGCGTCAGCGAGGATTTTGTTAGGAATGTAGAATCTGCAGACCTGCAGAAGAGAATTTGATTTTAAGAAGATCCCCAGGTGATGGGTGTGCATGCTAAGGTTTGTGCAGCTGTACTCCAGACAGTCCAGTCCTCTATCAGGGACCAGGACATTTTATATATGTCGTATCTAGTGCAACCTGACACGAAGTAGAACACTCAGTAAATATTTGTAAAATGAATGAATGCCCATTAACACATTGATTTATTTTTAGTTTTTATTTTTAGAAACAGAGTCTTGGTGTCACCCTGGGTAGAGTGCAGTGATGTCATCATAGCTCACTGCAACCTCAAACACCTGGGCTCAAACAATCCTTTTGCCTCAGCCTCCAGAGTAGCTGGGACTACAGGCGCGTGCCACGATGCTCAGCTAATTTTCCTATTTTAGTAGAGATGGGGGGTCTCACTCTTGCTCAGGCTAGTCTTGAACACCTGACCTCAAGAGATCCTCCTGCCTTAGCCTCTCAGAGTGCTAGGATTACAGGCATGAGCCACTATACCCGGCGTAAGCACGATGATTTTTATTCCTGTCAACCAAGCAATTTAATTGCGGAATCTGGAAGCCTGACTGTATGGTTACTTAAGCAGAACAACAGAAGCCTGTGGGAGCTCTTGCATGAAAGACCCAGCTGTGGGCCCTGGGGACAATGCGGTAATCAGAGCAATCATCCATCCTTAAGCCAAGATGTAATGCATCTATTCTGGGTCAGGCCAACAGTCAGGCCCTGGATGCAAAATGCTGAGCAAGACTTACTTTCTGGCATGGAGGAGCTTACCTGTCAGTAATCCTGAATTTTTTGCTGTTTTCTTGTTATGACTGCTCAGGCAAAGTGTTAGTCTGTAGCAGAGATGGCAGGAGGTGGTGTCATATAACAGCCACCACTGGGAAGATCCAACCCAGGGGTATCCTGAGAGCTTGGCAGAGCACAGTGAGCGCTAAAGAGGAGTAGCTGGTACTCAGGGGGCCAAAGGGCAGGTGGGCAGCCTCCAGAGGGCGTGGCAGGTAGTGGGGCCACCTTCCAGGTGTCTGGAGCAGAAATTCCATTCTCAGAATGGGGACTGGTAAGAGCGAGCAAACAAACATTAGAGGCTGAGCACTGGTCAGACGGTCAAGATAGAAGAGAAGACAGAGGCCCAATTGCCAGGACGAAGGAAAAAGAGGGGGGGGATCAGACAGGAACTCAATGTTGGGCCTGGGCACAAATAAGTTTTCAGAGGCAGACCTAGTGCCCCAGGAAGGGAGGGATCCATCCTTATACACCTTTAGGGACGTTTTGTTGTGCACCAAATACGCTGCTTCATTTGATAGATGGGGGGGATTGAGGTGTGATAGTGTCCTGAATTTCCCCCAGTTTGTAGGGACAGAACCAAATACTCCAGTTTGGCTTTAACTAGAAGGGAAGCAGGCAGCATCGTCCGTTTCTGCATCTATGGCTGTTTTAACTAAATTTGGGGAATTCTGTGGGAGTGGCAAAGAGAATTTTTGGAGGGACTAGGGAGCAAATGTGTCTTGGAGAGGCAGTCTGGTGACTGGTGACATGGGAAGCTCTGTAACCAGAGCTGAAGGTTGACACTGCCCAGGTGGTCAAGGGACCCAGGACAGGAGGAGCCTTCCTGCCTGCCCCTTCATTATTTGTGATTGGTCCACCGAGGATAACTCAGACAAATAAGGCATCTCGCAGCCTATCCAAGTTACTTAACTAAGAATTATTAAGGTGCCAACAGGCGTAGGCTTATAAATCTGTCTTTTATTGTCTGGTTGACTTACCCAGGTCTCCAAAGGGAACTGTAAAGTTTTATGGTGTACTTTAACAAGCCGACTTTCAGAGGCAGGCTTTGTCCTGGATGAATTTTCCCCTAGCAGCTATTGAGGTCAGCTAGATGGCCCAACCCTGCCCTGATTCTATGCGTTGGTGGGTTAAGGCTAGACCATCAAATCTGAACACTCCTCTCATTCGCTGTATCCAAATGTCTTGTCTTAGTGTACATTTATGCACATAGACACAAACAGCCTTTTTATAAGAAGTATCAGTGTAAAGATTTTCTAGTTGCTTGTTCTTTTATTGCTGCTATTCTTTTTACTGTTGCTTTCAATGTCACTTTAGGGTTG